ATAATTTACTAGAGTACATATAAAGAAATCAATATATATTTATATATATGCAATTTTTGAAGTGATTAACGCTTTTAAAAATATAAATTTATATAGCTCTAGTTTGAATTAATTAATATTCATTTAGAAATCAATGATAGTTTGTTTGTGAAAAAGTAAAATATATGTGATTGCAAAGTATTCTGATTCGGCAGAATAATTGTGTTAAAAAACAAACTTCCCGTGTATAAGCATGTGAGGAAATCCAGCAACGAAAAGTCTACATGAGATAAGACACTTTTCGGATTATTTTATAGCACATTTAGATTTGCCTAATAAGGTTATTCCAGGATAAAAATAAAATCTATTTAGCCAATTTTATATTTCACTGCGGCATCAGCATATATTTATATGCATTTGGCATTGCTATTCTAAGTACGCACCATTTGATTAAAACAAAATTCACTTTGAAATCAATAATAGTCTTATCTTTAAAGATGTTTCTAAAAATATGGGATGTTAAAGTATTGTTCCTTATACATAAAAACGTTTTATTAATTTAAAAAAATTTCAAGGCATCAAAAAATGTCAGCAACCTATTTCCTTGTCTTTGTAAGCTCAGTTGGAATCGCTAAGTGTCCATATTTTGGAGCAATTTGTTTTATTTTTATTGACTACCCAATGGGTATTAAATTAGATTTCTGCTCCATTTGTCATGACTAAATTTTGTATGCATAATTTCAGTAACTCGTTTATATCTCAAGTAGGTTTATTAATTTTGACGGTTTGAAATTGTTCTTAACCTTATATTTTAACATTTCACTGATAGTTGATTTAATTTCTTTTAGTTATTGTTAGAGTTTCTCAATGGATTTTTCAATGAATATATGAGATTTTAATAATACTATACATGTATTAGCATAAAAATCACTTAATAACTAGGTTCAATGATTAATATGAAAATCGCTCCCAAGCTTTAGTCGTTGAGCGAAATTTAAACCGGTTTTGCAATACGATTAGCTGTGTAAAAAGGTTGTAGTTATAACAATTGGTTTTGCCCATGCTGCCTAATTAAGTGACAACAAATTACATATTTAGAGTAACTCTCCATGGTATGTAATATAGAAATATTCCAAATGCCATAATAAATGCTCCAAATAAGAAACGTCTTTTGAATGAAGAGACGATTACTGAGGTTTTATTTCCTAAAATTATTTTTTTATTATAATTCACATTTGTCTACTGTCGCTAAAAGCCATGGCATTAGATAGAGATTGAGGATCGCAAATTAAATTATTAGTCAATTTGCAGGTCAGATTGAAAACCTTTGGGTAAAAGGAGAACGAATTGCAAACATGTTATGAATTTGAAAATATCGTTTTTGTTGAAAGGAAAACAACGATCTATGCTAATATAAAAAAAGGTTAAATTAGTTTTAGGCTCCATGATAATGTCTAATCAAGAAGCTACTCACTTGGCTGTAAGGGAATAATATTAGAGAAGAAAGTGAGAACAATCTAGATTGATATTGTCTGCGCATAAAAAGACAAGAAATAGATTGGCAATTGGGATTTGCTGTAATTTAGTCGAATATTTCATAGGTTTAAAAAGAATGAAAATAATGCAAAAGATGCATAAATAGAAATAAAAATTGATCAAGTTAAGTCATTTTACTTACTACCGTACCTCCATTTGCTTACTAATATTCGTGAAGTAATAGCTTCAATAGATTTATATTTACTTGATGAGCTCAGCAGTTCATCGCGATAGATTCTCAATGACAATTACTCTTGATTGATTTGAATTTTTCCTCTGCCTAATTCCAACGTATTCAACAATCTTTATCATATGAACACTTTATTCCTCCGATTTATTGATATAATGTTAGATACAACCTGAGATGCACCACAGGAAGTTGCAGCTTAGAAATTATGTAAATTGTTTCTTATCAACCATGCACAAACAGCCACATGAATTGAAATAAAGTAATATCGAATGCGAATAATACTAATAATAATTAAAAATACAAGGTATCAATATTTCGTCTGAGCGCAACTCTGTTGATGGTAAGAAGAGATAATTTTGCAACGATTTGTATGACCATGCTCGCTAATCAATCGCATTGCAGACAGATAAAAATTCAAACAGGTCAATGAAAGTGCTTCGGTCAACTGTTGCAACATGTACTAGAATATGCATTAAGCCTTTTGATGGACTGCGAATCAGTGTCAAAGAATAAACGCAGGGAATATGCGAAGCATGAATAAAAGGCTAAAATCAAATCACTGGTTGGGAAAAATCATTTCGTAGAAGAATTTTGAAATACTGAATTGCTAGCCCATGGAAATCTTGACGTTAACTCGAGAACAATAGGAACAGCCAACTTCTTTAATAAAATTTTAATTTTTGTTCATCATGAGCGAAATTAACATAATTCTACATTAACACCGACATAAGCTATTGAATAGGATGTTCTAAGGATCTCATATTTGCAGAAAGATATCATATCTTTTCTAGCCTCAATTTCCAAAACACTAATATTTCATCAAACAGAAAAGAACCAACTTTCGCATTCCGTCATATCAGGTGACACACCTAAACGGAAAGCAAATTCTTGAGAACGGAAAATTAAAAAAAATATAGATACGCAAAATCAAAATAGACATACCGTCTACCGTCCAATATACGCTAATTCCCAACTATGTCTTTTTTACTACATAAAGAAAGTGGGTGCTGGTTTCACTTCCATTTCGAGTATATTTAATTGCAGTATTCAACTGATCCCTTTTTGCGTTTTCATTAAAGTTCTCTTTAGAATTAAAAGAGTATTAATGCATTACATGAATTATGTAATCTATGAAATTCGAATTGACCCACCGCAGTATTTTTGAGATTGAGACTGAACAACATACTTTCCATTCCATAAGCAAACCATTTTATTGTTCCTGCGCAACTCTGCCTTAAATAACATTAAGTATTGATGTTATCAATATCGAGTAAAAGTTATTTTTACTCTGGCTTGATTTAATTAATCAATTGCGAGATTACTTAAATAGGCAAATCACTATTCATTTAAAAACTAATATAATTTGCTATGCATGATTATTAATCAAATATATAACAACTTCACTGAACTCGAATTCTTTATTTATACTAAATTACAACTATTTATTATGAACAGAATTTAATCAATAAATTGAATGAAATAATTAACAATAAGTGAATTTGCAAAAAAATAAATATAAATTAAAAGCATTATAATTTTGAATATAAGTTCATTAATTAAATTGGTTTAAAGTTCTCAATCTTCTACTTTTTTCTCATAGTGAAAATTTAATTATGAATCATAAACACAACCCAAATTAGTAATATTTGTAATGAAATTATTCTCATTTAATTGAAAATAAACTTACTAGAGAGGTGGATTTCGTTCCATTAATGGAAAAGTTAAGTTTTACAGAATTCATTCCTAGCTGAAACCCAACGAACGGAAACGACACTCCAGGTATTGATTTCCCAAAAAATTACCAAAAAATTAATTTAAAAAGAAAATTAGTCTCTATTCCGTTACACTTAATTACATCTAACCTGGTCTAACAGTTTGGAATTTACAATATGGGACAAATTTGGCAAAGCAAGCATAGTCGGATCCATAGACTGCCAGTCCATCGAATATATCAATGTGGAATATTATTACAATCATGTAACCTTTATGAGGAATGTAAAGTTGTAATGAAAGGTTTGCAGAAAACCATTACCTTTATGCCTTTTATATGGTGTCCCGATCCATTCGTTTTCTGAATGACAACTGCCATTTGTTATAGTAATGGGCCAAAAGTGTCCGTTCTCTACTCCATATAAACTCTGGAAAGGAATAATAATAAAATGCTTATTGAAATAAATTGTTAGATACGCTCTCTCCGTTCTTATCAACAAATATTAGAGGTTCAGTATTCCCAGAAGGTGTTGACACAATTCTCGAGCAAATTGAATTAGGCAAATCAGAGCCCCTATTCCTGGGAAGCATTTAATTGCAGCAAAGTAAAAACAAATAGAATAATAATCATTGGATCATTAGCATAATTCAATATTTGCCATAGTTTAATATATCTCAATTACCAATACATGCTTTTATTGCAATCAACTTAAGTATATGATTGGCGCCACCAAAATCTGCCATACATCGACGGCCTCAACAACTAACTGACACACGATTTTGTGTTAAGCATTTTCTTTCAACTTTCATAGACACTAATTGAGCTTAAGCCAACTGTTAAATGAGACACTTTGTGGGATATAAGGTAGTTTCTAAAATTATGATGATATTTGTAGTAGAAGATAGCAACAATATTTCAATTTAAGAATTCGTTCAAATTATCGGATATGAAATGATGCAATATATATTTAACAATTAAACATATAAGCGTCTTCATATTTAAAATGCTTGCAGAAAACATGTAGGAAGCATATATTTTCCTCGAACATAAATTTCGTTGAAACTAAATTTTATGTAAAATTGCAATGGAAAATGACAATAGCGAGCAGACATTTAAATTCAATTATTTCTGGTAAGACGTCAAAATGGATGTAGTTCCTGTGCAAAAAGGCCAATCATTTATGTAACAACAACACAGTTACAACACTGCTTTTACTAAATATTGGTACTGACCAAATAGATTTATACAAATCTTTCTCATGATCAATAAAAATGACTATTTCATTTGAGACCTGTGATTTCAAGTGGGGATATTAACTGCACTATAATTTTTTTCAATCTATCTTAAATTAAAATCGAACCAGAAATTAGCTTATTTTAATATGAATACACTTTGAAATTTGGGGTGCGCGATAGACTTACCTCCACGTGGTGCACCCTGGTCAACGTACGATAGACTTACCTCCACGTGGTGCACCCTGGGCAACGTACTTTCTTACGGCAAAAATTCTATCACTCGGCATTCGTTTTTCTTCTTACGGCAAAAACGTCTATCACTCGGCATTTGATTTGACTTTGATTTATTATGATTAGCTTTAAAAAAGGCTATAAGAGTTATCGCCCTCGTCAGGGCGAATCACAACGTCTTCAGATCCTCTTGTCAGGGTGAATCACAACGTCTTCAGATCCTCCAGTGGAAGGGGCGAATCACAATGTCTTCAGATCCTCCAGTGGAATGCTGCCAATAACATCGTCTTCAGATCCTCCAGTGGAATGCTGGAGGGATGTCACAGGACAAAAAGATCCAAGTCAAGAAAATCCTACACCAACGTCTTCAGATCCTCCAGTGGAATGCTGGAGGGATGTAACCGGGCAATAAGATCCAAGTAGAGAAAATCCTACAAACCTTTGATGTAGACATTTTCACAATTATGGAAGCAAACCTTTCGGATGACAATCTGAAGTACTACCAATTCTCAGGTTACACCCTGTACAATCTACCTAAATACCGGCAAGTTGCAAGTGGAATTCTAACTGGAGTGAAAGAAGGCCTCACCTCACACTACGATATGATCAAGAGTATGGGCTCGACACAGGACAAATGTGAAATAATCAGATTAAATGTTTGGAAATGTCAAAACCACTTCAAGATATATGCAGTCTATGATCCACCCTAAAATTGTCCCAACTTTGAAATTCTGAACATCACACACAAAACTGTGGTATTAGGAGACTTCAACGCCCATTCACACAAAAGTAGTATTAGGAGACTTCAACGCCCATTCCACCCGATGGGCTAGTATTAGGAAACTTCAACGTCCATTCCACCAGATGGGGCTACAAGGATACCTATTCTGAACATCTTACACAAAACTATAGTATTAGGAGACTTAATCTATAATCCACCTCAGAATTGTCCCAACTTTGACTTTCTTGTAATCCACCCCAGAATTGTCCCAACTTTGACTATCTGAACCCCACCCCAGAATTGTCCAAACTTTGACTTCCTGAACATCTCATCCCAGAATTGTCCCAACTTTGACTTTCTGAACATCTCACTAACCAGAATTGTCCCAACTTTGACTTTCTGAACAACTCACACATGTCAAAACCGCTTCAAGATATATGCATTTTATAATCCACCCCAGAATTGTCCCAACTTTGACATTCTCTGTAATCCACCCCAGAATTGTCCCAACTTTGACTTTCTGAACCAACGCCCACTCCACACAAAAGTAGTATTAGGAGACTTCAACGCCCATTCCACCCGATGGGCTAAGGCTACAAACATAGCTGGAAAGGAAATTGAAGACATGCTAAACAGTATTAGGACTATTCTGAACATCTTACACAAAACTATAGTATTAGGAGACTTCTCTGAACATCTCACACAAAACTGTAGTATTAGAAGACTTCCAACGCCCACTCCACCAGATGGGGCTACAAGGATAACATTGTTGGAGAGGAAATTGAAGACTTGCTAAACAGCAACCCTCTGGTACTATCATGCTAAACAGCAACCCTCTGGAACTTATTTACAGCAATGGTAAACAGCAACCCTCTGGATCTTATTTACAGCAATGAGGATTCCTCTACATGGGAACCAGAACAACTCCTGATTTACTCTTGGCTTCAAGCAACATCAGTACGCATATTAGCCGCAAAATAATTGACGATCCTGGTTCTGGTCACACGTTGCAAAATAATTGACGATCCTGGTTCTGGTCACGGAGCAGTCATTGCTAGTATTACCTTCGGCAGCAAAAGCAAGTCAAGGAAAGTGCCAACTAAGCTATCATGGAACTTCAAGAAGGCTGACTGGTCTAGATTCACAAACTTTTTGGAGAATGAACTTCACACAAGTCCCCTCAACTTCAACCAACATCCTGACAAACTTTGCAATGATATCGCAAATATTATGATCAGATGTGCAAAGGTGTGCAACTTTACACCAGTGATTTTCTTCAAATATCCGGTTTCTTTTTTGGCCACAAAATTTTGGCTTTGTCTAATTCAAGAATCTATAGAAAATAATTGCAATTGTCAAGGATTTAAATTTTGAAAATAAAGCTGGATCAATTTTGCAAAATACTGATATGTGCTTCTTGTTGGAATAAATATGAGAACAGCAGTTGTTTCGTCAAATTAAATTATCAAGGATAAATTTATTTATTTCAAATGGCAGGCTCAATGATATTTATCATTAGCCCTTAAACTTTGACTTCAGCTTCCCCGATGGGTGGGGGTACATATAAAGCAGTTAATTAATAGCCGTTCATTACACCCAAGGGTGGAGGGGGTACATATAAAGCAGTTAATTAATAGCCGTTCATTAGCTGTCTTCTTGCTTCCCAGTATCTCTGGCTTAATTACATTTATAGCAGTTCATTAATAGCAATTCATTAGCTGTCTTCTTGCTTCTTACATTTATAGCGGTTAATTAATAGCAGTTCATTAGCAGTCTTCTTGCTTCCCCGTACTCTGCTTTCAGCTCATTAGCTGTCTTCTTGCTTCCCAGTATCTCTGGCTTTCTTGCTTGTCTTTAGAGCTGGACACCGAATCAGGTGGGTCTTCCTTGTCTTTAGGGCTGGACACCAAATCAGGTGAATCTTCTCCAATTCCTACTGTAGGTTATATAGGGGGCATGTGGGTTGCTTGTGAACTTCCAATCTGTCGAGGTGTTTTGCCAAGCAATCGTGTCCGGTACGTAGTCTATTGTGAGGGTTTTTTGCCAAGCAATCGTGTCCGGTACGTAGTCTAAACGGCTCTGTCCGATACGTAGTCTAAACTCAGCAACGGCTTCGATTCTCGCCGCCGGGTATGTCGGAGAGTGCCACTGTCCACTATTTCTCCTCTATCGGAGAGTGCCACTGTCCACTGTTTCGATTCTTGGCTAGTCGGCTATGTCGGAGAGTGCCACTGTCCACTGTTTCTCTGTTGTTCGAGCTTTGAGTTCGTTGAACCTTGAGGTCTGGAAAGCCGGGTATGTCGGAGAGTGCCACTGTCCACTATTTCTCCTAGCTATATCGAAGAGTGCCACTGTCCACTGTTTCTGATTCTTGGCCCAGCCGGGTATGTCGGAGAGTGCCACTGTCCACTATTTCTCCTTTGGGGCTATATCGGAGAGTGCCACTGTCCACTGTTTCTCCTTTGCTATATCGAAGAGTGCCACTGTCCACTGTTTCTGATTCTTGGCTAGTCGGCTATGTCGGAGAGTGCCACTGTCCACTGTTTCTCTTTTGTTGTTTAAGTTCGTTGCACCTTGAGATCTTGAATTCTCTTCTGATCGGGAGAGTGCCACTGTCCACTGTTTCTCATTTGTTCGAGCTCAAGTTCGTTGCACCTTGAGGTCTTGAACTCTCTTCTGATTAGTTTCCACTGTCCACTGTTTCTCCTTTGTTCGAGCTTTGAGTTCGTTGGTAACATGAATTCTCTCCTGATTAAGGCCTTCATTGTGTGGATTTGAATTCTTCCCCTAATTAAGGCTTTCATTTTGTGGAAATACATCGGCCGGCCCATGAATTGCAAAATCGTTGCAACCTTTTTAGCAAGCGCGTCAGCAAGCTCATTTCCTTTAAAGCCA